CAGATATGGCATGATGGCATGCTCAGAATGCCAAGATGAAATCATCTACCAGGCGACTCCGTGGCAACCCAATCGAATCCGTTCTGCAATGGACTGGTGGAACGCCGGCATGTTCAAAGATGACCCTCTGAAGCCCGCCGCAACGCTCCATGAACGTGGCGGTAGGATAAACAAACAAAAGACTAGAGCGGTCCAGATGCAGAACTCAGATAGAACTCAGGCCCGCTGGCGAGAACATTAGAAACAAGAAAACTCGAAGCCGGCGCTGGCGCGCTTCTATTCCGCAGCGGCAGGAAAAACGGCTACCCTGTCAGCGGACAAGTCAGTATTCGCCTGGGTTCCATCATCACCCAAGGACAAGCGCCTTGCCCATAGCAATATGGCGCGCGAAGTCAAAGGCCACAAGCTGGCACGCAGGTGAATGTTGTACCAGCAGTATCGTGGCTGGCGACCTGCTGGCTTCAACGCAACGTGCCCATCCTGGACATGGTGGGCATTTGTCCAAACAGGTGCATCAGACCGATTTCGGCACAGAAATGGGCATCCTCGACATCTTCGACTGGGATACCACGGACCCCGATGCCCGCGACAAGCACGATCCCAGCGCGGGCTGGGAGGCCTGGTGCTACGATCATCGCCAAGAGATGCCGCAGTCACTGAATGACATTTGGCGCGGCATTCAAGATGATATTGACAGCCACTGGCAACCAAAGGAAGAATTGGCCGGCATCGAGGAGGAAGAAGAAGAAAACCTTCAGAGGACAAGAGCGCGTCGCTCGGCCTCGGTCAGGTCATCTGCCCCTGCCCATGGCAGACGTGGCAGATCACGCAGCCGCAAGAGGCGTGCCCGATCAGAAGATGCGCCAAGAGCATTGGAAGACGCGCCATGCGCAAACGAGACAGGTCCTGTGTTCCACATCGTAGAACTCACTATGCCGAGAACATGCGACCTATTGATGTGTACAGCGTTATCAAGAGGGCGGCCGAGGAACTCGTTACGTACTTCGCCGCTGAGGAGGAGCCAAGGAATGCCATCAGGCGATGGACGCGTCCACCTGCGAGGCAAAGATACGTCGGACGTGGTATGAGCCACCGGAATTCTCCGTCTATGATCCAGACATGCACGAGACGAAGATGCAATGGATGTCGGAGCAAATCTACAGGGTGGTCATCGAAGTTACCAAAGACTTCACATGGACAGAGATCGGCGGAGCGACTGCGGATGAGGACGCCGCGCGTACTCATCTCGAAGAAGTAGAGCAATACCGAACCGGTCTGCTGCGCGAAGCTAACCTACTTAGGGCACATCGTGAGATGCTGGGTCTTGTGTACAGAGATATCTACCAGCATCGGACAGACATACCGCCAGTCTCTACTGACGCCCATAAGATTGAGGCGTGCATGCAGTACCTGCAGCAGTCGCAGGCGACGGCGCCCAGGCGCGGACTGCGACTGACGCCCGACACTTTCCAACGCGCCGCCGTTGAACGGTGGCCGCTGCATGTATACGAGGCTGCGGTGTATGCCCTGAACATGTGGCAACAGCACGGGGCGGCGACGCTAGAGCCTGAACACGAGCGCCCCACCTCCCGATTGTCCACGGCACGAGAGGCGCAGGGAAACCAGCCGCAGGCGACGACTGCCAGGTCGGGTCGCTCTGCCAGCCGCAAACGCGCCCTCAGTAGTTCATCAGTCAGGAGAACAGGGCGGCCGCGCCATCGCGGAAGGGGCATGGCAAAGGAAGCTTCCCGAGTGGCGCGGCCCCGCCGCCTCCAGATGCTGCAGAGACAGGCAAGGGCAAACGAGCCTTGAGATGGGGCAGCCGCGCAGCGTCCCCGCCTGCGGCGCGGCCATGTCACTGCGCGGACATCCGCCAATCGGCCCCAACTTGCGCCGCCCCATCCGCGCCCCAGCGCAACCAGCCCGAATCCACTTCACGCCCGCGGCGCGATCGGAGGCGAAGCCGACCCCCAGTAGACCACGCCCGGAGTGCGCGGAGGGGCTCCTCCAGCCGAGCCAGGAGCAAAGGACCGGGCAAGGATGACCGCAGCAAAGGCGGTCATGACAGCTGGGGCGATCGCCGCCACGACGCCAAGGACTATCCATGGCGACGCGGCGACGGTTGGAGCTGGTGATAGCACCAGGCGCCCATGGCGCACTGGTGGTTAAACCAGCACAAGCACCATATGCCCATGGCTAAATGGTGACTTTGACGTGGCGAGCTGGGCTGCTGACGGCTTTGAGAGCCTCGCGCCCGGGCTTGCCTGAATCCGGCGCCGTCGGAGACGTTCGGTCCCGATGATGCTACGCCGGCCCTGGCCGGCCATTGCGGCCGGGCTGCCGCGGGGGGGGTCGTTGCCAGACGCTCCCTGCCGCCGCATATGTGCATATATGCATCTACTTGAAAACTAAGTTAACTGATCCCTAGCTGTATTGGATCAAAGGGAAATAACGCGCGCGCGCGCCCCGCACTCTCTTTTGTTCCCTATCCGCTTAACGAACAGTCGAACCTCATACTTATACGGCTATCGCCGTTTTCTTTGCCGCCATGGTCTCTCGGGAATCCTCGAGCCCAAGATGTTCCTTGGAACCGATGCTAGGAACACCACATTTACCACGTGTACATCCTGATCATATTGGCCCTATTGAGCTTAAGTTGGGTAAAGATGGTTCCCCCCGCCGTTGTGGAAACGTTTCGGGGAACGCTTGGGGGAGGATGGCGGGGAAGATCAGGAGGAGGAGGACGACGAGGACGAAGACAAGGAGAAGGACGAGGAGTAGGAGCAGGAGCAGGAGCAGGAGAGGAGGAGGAGGAGGAGGAGGAGGAGGAGGAAGAGGAGGAGGAGGAGGAGGAGGTGGCATCTCGGGAACCTATGGTTTTTGGGGCCTCCTGGGAGTTTCCTGGGAGCCTCTTGGAGGCATTTTTGGGTGTCTCATTGGGCTTTTTGGGGGCCTTTGGATGCGGCTGGGGTGCCTCTTTGGCTGCCTTAGTGTCTTGGGGGCTTCTCTGGGCCGTCTCCGGGCCCTCTTTGGATGATCCAGGGCCGTCTTGGAGGCCAGGGGGTCTTGGGGGCCTCTTTGGCCGTCCTTGGGCCCTCTCGGGGCCGCCTTGGGGGCCTCGTGGGCCGTTTTGGGGCCATTTGGGAGGCCTCTTGGGCGATCTTGGAACGATTTCTGTTGGCTCGTCTGACAGCTGAAAATAAACAAATGCTAACATCCTTCAAACACCTAAGGGCAATCGATGTTTTCGGCTTCGTCTGGTCGTCCTGGAGGCGTCATAGGGGTCCTCTTGGGGGCCTCTGGGGGCGTCTTGGGGCCATCTTGGGGTTATCTTGGGCCGTTTTGGTGGCGTCCTGGCCCGCTTGATGCCATCGGAAGCCGTCTTGGAGGCGACCTTAGGCGCTTTGGAGGATTCTTGAGCCGTCATGGGGCCGTCTTGGGGGCCTCTTGGGCCGTTCTGGGGCCATCGTGGAGGCCTCTTGGGCGATCTTGGGGCGATCCTTGGGAGCTCTTGGGCCGTCTCGGGCCGTCGGAAGGCCGAGAAGAAGCACACGCCCAAATCCTTCAAACACCTAAGGAACATCAGTGTGCTTGGCCTCTTCAGGCCTTCCTAGTGACCCTCTTGGAGGCCTCTTGGGCCGTCTTGGAGACCTCTTTGGGGCCTCTTGGGCCATATTGGAGCCATCTTGGGCCGTCCTGGTGGCCTCCTGGCCCGTCTGGCGCCGTTGGAAGCCGTCTTGGGGGCCTCTCTGGGCCGATTTGGGGCCCTCTTGGGGTCCTCCAGGGCCGGCTTGGAGGCCATCTTGGGCGTTTTGGGGGCCTCTTTGGCCGTCCTTGGGCCCTCTCGGGGCCGCCTTGGGGGCCTCGTGGGCCGTTCTGGGGCCATTTGGGCGGACCGCGGGCGCGCTGCAAGGAACGCTGCGAGCATCCTGAGTAGCGTCGGCCAGTCACGGGGGGAAGGGGGAGACAAGAGGTGGTGAAAGAGGAGGCAGAGGAGGAGCTTAGCTTCTCATGCTTCCTCTCCAGCACACGTTTAGTACACATTGTTGCGAACCGCTGTGATCTGAATGAGTATGTGCTGTGTCTTCGATGCCACAATGTTCAGAGAAAACCATCCGGCTGTATATTCAGAATGAACGCTCCCTCGTCCTGGAATCTTTCATACTTGCGTTGGATTGGCTTGCGCTCTCTCACTCGCACTGCTCATATGAGCCAGTGTATGCCGGGAGCTTCTTGTTAAACTAAAGATTATCATGAGAGTTAGGTGCAAGTCCTTCGTCAATGTTGTCCGTGAACTGCCGAGCAGGGGTAAGTGCGACGGCTGCCACACCCACCAACAATTTCATGGAGAGAGGACCGAGGGTGGATGGAGGACGGGAGAGGCGAAGGTCTATCCTAGCTCCTGTTGGTCTTTGCATGCTCGTGCCCCGGCACGTGAAGCACTTGTAAGGAATCCAGAGTTGGATCATATGGAGAGTGAGCTTGATATTCCGACCGATGGTAAGCACTTGTGCGTTCCTGCTGACCCCATGTTTGGGGAGGGAGGTCGGCAATGGATATAGGTGGCGGTCAGTGGTATCGGGGCCCCTTCAGTGTGTGTGTGTGTGCGTGTGTGTGTGTGTGTGTGTGTTTGTGTGTGTGTTTGTGTGTGTGCGCGTGTGTGTGTGTATGTGTGTGTGCGTGTGTGTTTGTGTGTGCGTGTGTGTTTGTGTGTGAACGTGTGTGTATGTGTATGTGTATGTGTATGTGTGTGCGCGTGTGTGTGTGAGTGTGTGTGTGTGCGTGTGTGTGTGTGTGTGTGTGTGCGCCTCCCCCTTGCTCGTACATGTGTTCGATTGGCAGCTGCAATCTCATGCTGTCAGACTCGAGGAGCAGGCATAGGAGGAGGAGGAGGAGGAGGAGGAAGAAGAAGAAAAAGAGGACGAGGAGCAAGACGAAGAAGAAGAGGAGGAGGGAGGAGGAGGGAGGAGGCAGGAGGAGATAGCCGCACGGGCGCGAAGGAGCGGAGGGCGTCCCCGCGGCCGGCACGGGCTGGGAGCGCCAGCGGTTCCGACAGCGACAGCGCGGAGGGCGCCAAAGGGCGACGGAGGCCGTTTCGGGGGCGACGTCAGGGGGGGATAGGCTCAGGGGGTGACGGCACGTTCGAGGATCGAGGTTCTAGGTTTTCGGGCGTTTTCGAAGGTTCCCGTCGGCTTTCCAGACTCGGGGTGCCTTCCAGCAGCTGCGCCTCGCCGAGAGCCGTCTTGGGGTTGCCTGGATCGTCCTGGACGACCGCCGGAGAGCCGAGCTATGGCCCGAGAGCCAGGGGCACCGACAGGTGGGGGACAGGCGCGGGGGGGAGGGCGCATGGACCCCCAACCGCCCAGTGATCGCCGTTGGGACCTCTACAGCCCATCCCGCCCAGGAAGGTATGCCCCCTCCCCCCCCTCCTCCTCCTCCCCCTCCCCCTCCCCCTCCTCCTCCTCCTCCTCCTCCTCCTCCTCCTCCTCCTCCTCCTCCTCCTCCTCCCCCTCCTCCGTTGGATCTATCCAGCTGCCTCGGGGAATTTTCTACCACCGCGCCATCGCAGCACTCTGGGTGGCAAACTGCTCGAAAAGGCAATGGGGGCCTGCCAGAAGCCTCTTAGGGCAGAAAAACAAATAAAAAAGAAGCCTCTTAGGGCAGAAAAAGAAAAAGCCTCTTAGGGCAGAAGGCTCGAACTCTGAGTTCACGTTCCCACTCTTGGGTCCTTTTTGGGGCCATCTTCGGTCTTAGGCGCCTCTTGGAGCACTCGTGGGCCGTCTTGGGGTCCGCTTGAGACCCCTTGGGCCGTCTTGGGGCAATATTGGTTGCTCTGTGGGTCGTCTTGGGGCGTCGGAAGCTCGAACAGGCGAGAACCCGACAAACACTGAAGAACCTAAGGAACATGCTTGATTCTTGCCTCTCGCGGCCCTCTTGGGAAGGCTTTTGATGTTCTCTTGGGGCGCCTCGAAGGCTTCGAGGTTCGTCTTGAAGCCATCTTGGGCCGTCTTGAGGCCAAAGTGGTCCGTCTTGGAGCGATGTTGTGCCTTCTTCGAGGCAGCTGGGCGTCGAGAGCGTGAATCTGTCGCATTTTGTTACGGATTGTGGCCTTGGGAAGAGGGAGGGGGAGGTGCGTGCGGCTGGGCGCGTCCCAAGAGGAGTGGGTCGGGGGTGGACAGAACCTCCAACAGTGGCACGTCGATTAGTGAATTGTCCGTTTCCGGTTCTCGAGAGGGCGCCGTGGCCGTCATTTTCCAGGCTTGCGCCCGCCAGGTTTGGGCCTCAGGTCGTTTTCACTAAACCACGTTTTACTAAAGGGGGGTCTGTCCGTCCCCGAGTGGGGGGGCGTCGAAAATTGCAGAAACCCTACCAGACAGCACCTGGCATTCTAGCACGCCCCAACGTTCCTTGGGGGTACGGTGGCGGATCGGCGCGGATCGGCGATGCATTGCGGATTCAAACTCGATGTGTCCCTCCTGAAATGCTCCTGAAATGGTCTACCCCGGTCGCTTCCCATCACCCCCATCGTCGTCTGGATGGTCGTCTCCGATCCAGACGTCTCCGCCGCCGAGGATCGAGCACCAAGCCTCGAGGTTCAAGGTTTTCGCTTCTGCCAGCTGTTATTGAAAAGTTAGCGAGTGGTTCTGCCATCAGGGGATCCCTGACGAAACAATAATATCGTGATCCTCCTGCTCCTCCTCCTCCTCGTCCACTTCTTCTCCTTATGAATGGTTTCCCCCTGTCGCACCCTCAGACGTGTCAGCAGGGCGGGTCTGGCGTTTCGCTTGGGACCCCGTCACAATGCATGGTCCTGAAGCTTGAATTTCGCGGCAGCTTCAATGTTTGAGGGCGGCTGGTGCTCCAAACGTGGCTCCCGCCTTAGCGCCGCACACATTCGCTTGACCAGGTTGCAACAGGTTTGAGGATCGAGGACGGCTGAATTTCAAAATGTGGCTCTCTCCGTAGCTTCGCGCACAGTTGCCTGAAAGCTTGCAGCAACTTCAAAATGTGTTTCACACTGTGGTTCTCACTTTGGTGTCGCGCACTTCTCCTTCAATGCCTATCACCTTTTCAAGGGTTCACAGGGTTGAAGTCCCAGGAATGGTGTTTTGGCAGGGCTTAGGACTGCCAGGACGCAAGAGGCACATTGGTTGGCCGTGTTGAAATCCCAGGAGTGGTTTTCGGATACGGTTTAGGATTGTCACGACGGAACAGAGACACAATGATTCGCGGCATTGAAGTCACGGGAATGGTGTTCTGGCACGATTGAAAATCTAAAGGCTGCCGCCTCTGCCGCCGACCCCAGAGAAATTCAGGGAGGCTCAGTTGCTTAGTGGGTTTGGTTGAACGCGTTTTGCTTTTCCGTATACGTGTTTCCGATAAGTCGGACGGCCATCCTGGAGGTTCGCGTTGCGCTCCTCCTCGTCGTCCTTCTCCGCAGATTGTCTTTGGTTTGTATTCACTGTCCGTTGAAGAATTCCTACGGATTACATCGAATTCTTGTGGATTCCTACGGACTCCCGAAGATTATTGTGGATTCCTGCGGATTCCTCAATGTTCCTGTGGATTCCTGGGGATTCCTGGGGGTTCCTAAGGATCTCTATGGCTTCTGAAGGTTCCTATGGATTTGTAAGGATTACGAGGGATTCCTAAAAAGGTTTTCGGTCATTCCTGGGTATTCCTGGGAATCCCAGGGGATCCCGAGAACCCCCTGGGATGCTTTTTGAAGTCCTGATGATCCCGATGAGGTCATTGATCCCTGAGCATTCCTGAGGATTCCACGTGGAGTCCTGGGGATTCCTGGTGATTCCTATGGCTTCGCAACGATCACGAGGGAGTCTTCAGGATTCCCACGGGTCCCTCCGGGATTCAAGGGTTCTGACTGATTCCTGAGGATCTCAATGGATTCTTGCGGATTCCGACAGATTCCGATGCTTTCCTATGTATTTCCGAAAATGCTAGATGTTCGCGTGGCCCCACCAGCCCAGCCAGAAACGATGCCCAGAGGCGTTGTCACGATCATGGAAGGGGGCAGCACGCAGAACGAGGTTCCCCCGGTAGAGGTCCAGGAGCATCTTGGGGGCTTCGTGGCGGTCCTGGAGGCGCCCTGGTGTCTCCGAGGCGCCATTGCTGTCGCGAGGAAACTCGCTCCACGCGTGCGACAGGTGGGGCGTCTAGGACGGTTCCAGAGCGTCCTGGAACGCTCTGATACTGCCGCGGCGCTCGATGCATCCTCCAGAATCGCGAGGTCTCAGAGATCTCCGACTTGCCCTCTGGGCGCCTTTGTGCGCTGGCACCTTTCGCTCTGCCACTCTTTCTACCAGAGATCGTACGTCCTCATGCTGCTCCTTCTCCTCTGCGTCCTCCTCCTCTCCTTGCCCACCAAACCATCTCAGCCCAACCCGAAGGCCCGGAGCCGCCTTCGGTTCTCAGCGGAGGGGAGCCCAGGAGCATGGACAAGGCACAGGCGGAAGCAGCACGCCCTTCAACCCGACATTTGGGACTTCGGTTGTGGTTGGGGCGGTCTGGTGGGCAGTCCTCCTCGCCTTCACCCTTGCCTTGTCTGGCTGTAGCGCACGGCCCCGTCCTCCCCGTCCTCGCCGTCCGCGCCATCCTCGTCGTCCTCGTCCTGGTAGGTCGTCATCCCTTCCATCCTCCCCATCCTCGCCGTCCTCGCCGTCTTCGCCGTTCTCGTCCTGGGAGGGCTCCCTCCTCGCCCTCTTCGCCCTCCTCGCTTTCCTCGCCCTGGTAGGCCGCCATCCTCGCCTCCCTCCCCGCCTGGACCGAGCGCATGGCGCGCCACGGGGCCGCCGCGGCGGCCCGCGGGCCTCGGCCCCCCCGCCGCCTGGGCGCCGCGCGGCGGCCTGCGGTCCATGGCCGGCGCCGCCGGTCGCGAGGCGCGGCCCGAGTCTCGCGCGGCCAGCCGCAGACGCCGCTGGCCTCCGCCGCCGCCGAGGGCCCTTTCCGCCGTGGGGAGCCCTGCGATCCTGGCGTCGCTAAGTTTGGTCGCGCCGGGCGTCGGCGCTCGGTGTCGGGCCCATGGGGCAGTCACAGATCGAGGCGGCTCCAAGAGGGGCGCAGGAAGGGGGTCCTGCGGTTTGGGTCGTGATCTGCTACGATGTTGCAAGTTTTGGGCAGCGTCGGATGTCCAAGAACAGGCTCGGCACGGCTCGGGCGTGTGCAGTTGTTTGCGTCTTCCGGCCAGGGCCACGGAGGAGCCTCTCGGGATCGTCTCGCGAAGCCGAGCACGCGCACACACTTGGTGCGTCGGCGGCCAGGCGGAGGGACTGCGCTGGCGGGAGGGCAGAAGTTGGACGAGCAAGTGCGAGTTAGGCCGCAGTGCACGGGGGAAGACCCGGCGACGGCGGGGAGAAGGAGGCGCCCGGGCCCTCTCGAACGCACGCACACGCACGCACGCACGAAACCGAACCATGCAGGGGGGATGGGCGTCCGAGGGATGGCAGAAACGGGGGTGGCAGGAGGGGGGCGTTGGTAGGTTCTGGGCGAGAAATGGTGGGGTGGGGGGTCCCAAGAACAGAGCTCTCCCGGGGTGGGCTGTCAGGCCAGGCGGGGGGCGTTGGTAGAATCTGGGGGAGAAATTGCGAGGTGGGGGGTCCCACAAACAGAGCTCTCCCGGGGTGGGGATGTCAGGCCAGGAGGGGGGCGTTGGTAGGTTCTGGGCGAGAAATTGTGGGGTGGGGGGTCCCAAGAACAGAGCTCTCCCGGGGTGGGGATGTCAGGCCAGGAGGGGGGCGTTGGTAGGTTCTGGGCGAGAAATTGTGGGGTGGGGGGTCCCAAGAACAGAGCTCTCCCGGGGTGGGGATGTCAGGCCAGGAGGGGGGCGTTGGTAGGTTCTGGGCGAGAAATTGTGGGGTGGGGGGTCCCAAAAACAGAGCTCTCCCGGGGTGGGGATTGGTCAGGCCAGAGCTCTCCCGGGGTGGGGATGTCAGGCCAGGAGGGGGGCGTTGGTAAGTTCTGGGCGAGAAATTGTGGGGTGGGGGGTCCCAAAAACAGAGCTCCGCCGGGGTGAACATGTCAGGCCAGGAGGGGGGCGTTGGTAGGTTTTCGGCGAGAAATTGTGGGGTGGGG